AGACTTTCACTGGCACATAGCTGATGTTATAAGGAGTAACTTAGGCTACTTATATTTTAGAAAAATAATTTAGATTCCGCGCAACATATATAAAACCCTAAATTACACGCGGGCGTAGTCGCTTGGGCTGGCGTATACACTTCACTTTTATTTATTTGTATAGATATAAATATATAAATTATTTATGTAGTTTCTTAATTCTTAATACCTATTCAATACAAGCCGCCAGTAATTAATAACTATAACATAAAGTGAAGTATCTGTCTGTACTATCGACATAACTGCATTTTAATGAGGTGAGGGGGGTTATTTGCATTCCATTAAGACATGATAACCATTTTTAAAATTTGTGTCTGTCTTTTTGGGCTAATGTATGGTAATGAAACTTGGGCCAACACATAAAGAGCAATGTCAGGGGTGACCTAGAATACATTTTATCCTAAAAATATGGAGATTTTAGAGAAATCGGAAAATTGCTAAAAAAATTATCTTTGATGACTATCTTAAATGGAAATAACACCACATTAATAGATCCTTACCCAAGTGAAGTCTTGACTGGTCACTAGTACAAAATAAAATTAAGTGATAGAGACACAATGCAGCTACAGTATAGCTGCAGCACAAATGGGTCGGTTCAACCGGGGAAGGACCACGCTCACAAGGAATACCAGCGTAAAATAACTGATTAATACTGAGGAGTTTCGTATAAGTAGCTATGGTAGCCCAGGAGCTAAGCGCCCGCTGCAAAATTTCATAGTATGCAAACAACCCTGGTTGAAAACCCTCTGGGCTCCTAAAATTGTTAATTCCAATTTTAAGTGCTGATTTACATGTTAGACAGTAAAAGAAAACATCGTCAGGTAAGCTGCATGTCTGAAAATTTAAAAATTCGTAGAAATGTGAAGTGAGCCAACACGCATTGGGGCAGCGAGGTGGACACTTCCTTGCTCCAAAACCCTCTCAGAAATAGGAGGAGGCCTGTGCCCAGGAGTGGGACGTATAAAAGAACTTTTTTTACTAATAACAAAGCATTCAATCGCATTCCTCAGGGGCGACGTCGCATCTGCATTTTTATTCTTAATCAATGTAGGTTTCCATAGGCCACAGCATCCAATTACCAACAGGTGGACCGTGTGATCATTTGTCACCCTTATTCTATAATAATATATATTATAATAATTTTATACAACCAACTTCAAAATTTTTTTTTATAGAAGAGGGGGCAAACGAGCATGCGGCTCACCTGATGGTAAGTGACTACCGCCGCCCATGAACAACCGCAACACCAGGGGAATTGCAGATGCGTTGCCGGCCTTTTAGAAAGGTGTAAGCTCTTTTCTTGAAGGTTCCTAAGTCGTATCGGTCCGGAAAATTCGCTGGTGGTAATTGATTCCACAAGGAAGATGTGCGAGGGAGAAAACTTCTTCTAAATCGCACAGTGGTCGACCGTCAATCATCCAGATGGTATGGATGGTAACGTGAGTTTTGTCGCGATGTGCGATGGTGAAATTGAGCGGCTGGAATTAGTCCGAACAATTCCTCAGAGCACTCCCCGTGATAGATGCGATAAAATACGCAAAGAGATGCAACATCTCTACGCAGTGCCAGTGTATCGAGCCGATCAGAAAGAACTTGGTAGTCGACGGTTCGAACCGCTCTGCACTGGATGCGGTCAAGTGGAAGGAGCTGGCACTGGGGTGCCCCGGCCCAGAGATGAGAACAGTATTCCATGTGGGACCGAACTTCAATATAAATTATTAAGAATATCTCAAAAACTACCAGTCAGATCTTGATCAAATTTATATGGGACCACATCAGAAGCATCAGCTTTCATATAAAAAAAGAATCATCGAAATCGGTCCACCCAGTAAAAAGTTATGAGGTAACACACATAAAAAAACACAGTCGAATTGAGTACAGTCTCATTTTTCAATTCGGTAGAAAATAAAATAATGGGACACAAACCTGTTAGACTATAGTGGCAGTGTAGAATGTCTCCTACCCCCATACTGTCGTATCGTAAGAGAGAGAGAGAGAGAGAGAGAGAGAGAGAGAGAGAGAGAGAGAGAGAGAGAGAGAGAGAGAGAGAGTTGTTTAATAAAAATAATTTAATTAAAAGTACTTTTTTCTTATAAGTGCAGCTTGATTCAATGTTATACTACAATTGAACTTACAACAAGAATTTTACATGACAGAAAGAATTATTCCAAAAAATTAATCTATTCTATGACAAAAAAAATTTTCGATTCTCTTAAGAAGTCTGCAGATCTACAGATATTTTGAAATAGCATCTACGGATTTCTACGGAAATATTTACACCCATCTAAAGATTGGGAAAAATTCAAGAGTTGGTAACATTGAGTTCCCAAGTCATAATTACTGAAATACATTATTTAGGCTTTAACAGTTTATCATAAAAAAAACCTCTGCCCTGGGAAGAACCAAAGCCCAATTTTTTTTTGTAATAATTTAACACTTTCACTGTCCGGTTTCCAGACACAATAGTAAGACAATAGCAGTGCCCTATATATAGTGCACGGGACAGCGAAAGGGTTAAGCTGTATGTTGTACAGTTAACTATAAAAACATTAAGAAACAATAACAATGTCCTCTAGACTGAATTTTGGTCATGGCTACCAATCTCAATGATGACACATTTTTGGTCTTTTGCTCAATAAAACAAAGAGCTTCTTGTCTTAGAAGCTCTTTGTTTTAACGACCACATTGTAGAATTTACGGTCATCAAAAGTTCTTCAGACTAATATGACTAACGGCCAGTCTCAATAATCTATCTATCTCATACTGGAAGTTAAAATGTCTACCATTGGTATCTATAGTTACATTTTTCCGTTTCAATAATCTAAGATAGATAGAAATATTTAACCATCACATTGATCTACCGTTCGGGGGACTTACCGACTACCTGAGTTAAGTAGGTTCATAGAAAAAAAACAGCAGACTGTTTCAACAATGTTTTGGCAGTTAACTGGCGATAGTTCAAATTACCAGATTATCAGTTTTGTCTATCGCTCAATTTTGAGAGTTAGCAAATATTTGTCATGTATTTAAATACATAAAACCTATTCAATATCTAAAAAATGGATATGTTCAGTAATGAAACCGATAATGAAATGTATGAAATCCGTGTTTTTTATTTCGGAGGTATTGTAAATACTGAAAATAGCAGAGTTTATACTGGAATTAATTAACGAAGGGAATTTTCTAAGTGTTATAATTTACATTTTTCATAGATTCAGAAAAATGATTTTTTTTTTTTTATAGGATAAGGGTGACAAACGAGCACACAGTCCAGTGATGGTAAGTGGTTGCTGCGGCCCATAGACATCTACATCTATCCTTGTTTGCGAATTAAAATGCAGATGCGTTGTCACCCGTGAGGACTAAGATGGAATTCCTCATTTCCAGTAAAAAGGGCCTCCGGCCACCTGCACTCACCAAGCGAAACGCAGAGGTAAACCTCTACTTCACGCTGGTATTCTGTGAGGTCGTGGTACCACCCTGGTTCGAGCCGGCCCATCCGTGCGACAGCAATTCTGCCGCATGGCTCTACCACTGTTAAAATTGAGTACTTATTGAAAATAACCCCAGCCTTAAAAGTAATTTCTTTGAGGTGAGTAAAGAAACTTGTGAACAAACATTTTTACATAATGTATGGTCGAAATATACCACCCAACATCATTTTAGACATGAATGTCAATTATTGTAAAATTTTAGGAATAAAGGAATATCAAAATTTAATTATAAGCTGTTATTTCAGCTGAGCTCATCGATTTTCGGTTGTGGTGTACACAAGCTATCAAGTCAAGCAAGTGTCAATGTCAATGCCGAACGCCAAGCACTGCATTTCGTTATTTCATTTTTTAAGATAACATTTTGTCATTATTTGATATAAACTTTAATTTAGAAATGTGTACATGGAATAATTGTCAATATTATATTAAAAACTAACAACTACAATAACTGAAAACATTATATAATAATAAGAATATTTTAAATATATCATAATACTTTATTATAAAAGATGACGAAATTCACTTCGAAGGAAAAACAAAACGCTTAGGATGGACGCATTAACCAAAGTTATAATAAGCTATCAGTCTTTTATCTCGGCTAAGCTTTCCAACACCACAATATTGAGATAACAGTAACAGATAGTTTAAAAGTAGGTAACTGTTTACCTTGGGTAGCTATCTACTTACAATTACTGATTGTAGAGAATTGACACTGGCCGTAAGGGAACTTCAAGAAAAAAGCCAACCCTTTCCCCAAAGACACCTGCAATGCAATGCACCTGCAATACCTTCAGTGTTGTAGATGTTTATGGGCAGTGGTAGTCACTTACTGTCAGGTGAGCCGCATGCTTGTTTGCCTCCTCTTTAATTTAAAATAAAATTCTTCATTGCAGTTTACCATTGGTAAATTTTAACATGAATTAATTATTGCGTTGAGTTTGCTTCAATACATATTTATTAAACCAAGACTACGTAGGTAGATGATAAATTCTATAATTTTGTTCATTTGATTTTTCTTTTATATAATGATTTTGATTTGTTCTATTTTTTAATTCTATTTATTTGGTATTCTATATATTTTGCGATATAGTTCTTCACTGCTGTAGATGATAAATTCTATAATTTTGTTCATTTGATTTTTCTTTTATTTAATGATTTTGATTTGTTCTATTTTTTTATTTCTATTTATTTGGTATTCTATATATTTTGCAATATAGTTCTTCACTGTAGGCCATATATGTATTCTTAATGTCGCTAAGAAAGCTACTGAGGGGGTTATGCTGGGAGATTCTGTGCTAGATAGAATCTTTAACTATGGTACTCATAATCAAACAAGATTAACCGACATAGCCCGACAGATCAGTAAGTTCTAGTTGCAACAGGCTTATATAACTCGAACTGGCAATGTTTGAAAAAGAAAATAAAATAATTAAAATATACAAACTAAATATTATTCAGTGAACTTACATTCTCCAATGAATTGAAACTCCTGTCCCAGCTGCTGACAGGAGTGCCCCCGAACAGATATCCCGGGTATCTCTCACACATTTATCAGTTTTATATATACAGTATATACTTGAACAGTTAATTATAACCTATAGACTACTTTTATATTGAGCAATAACTTTATAATAACTTCATGGTGAAATAAGATTTATATATTTAGATTAATGTTATGCTGTCTGCTCCGGGAACAGACTTGCTACCTGAAAAAATAGAATGTTTTTTTTTTATTTATTTAATTTATTTAGACTTAGTTTGATGTGTTACATGGTGATTACTTATAAGAAACCATGACCATATTTCATCCCATAGCTGTTATGTGGTGGCTGAGAAAAACAGATTTTTATCGAACAGTGAATCCCATGTATTTAAAGTGTCTACTTCCCATGTAGTATATGGAATATTCATAATTAAATAAATTATTATAGATAATGGTATAATATTATCACAGATCATAAGTTACACAAAGAATCCCTAGGCTAAACTTGTACTAGAAACATTCATTTTTTATACAATAAAAGTGACAAATGCCCACACAGTCCTCCCGTATGGTAAGTGGATGCTGTGGTGGCCCATAGACACCTGAGTTTATCATTGAATAAAACTTAGAATCAAAATGCTAATCATTGTCACCCCTGAGGACTAAGATATCATGTCACTAACATGTCTCGTTACTAGCAAAAAGGTCCAGTTCCCTGCACCCACCATATAAAACATAACAGTATGCTGGTGTTATAAAATAATATGGTCAACATCCCCAGTCAATCCAACACACTCATGTTACTATAATATAGCTGCAGTGTGGCTCTACCATATAGAGCCAAGGTAGTGAATTAATATGAAAATTTAATTACTGATTGTGAATTTAATTAGAAATTTTATTTTCACAACATGCAAGTTTTACCATTTTTATTCATCAACCTGCAAGTAGTGGGCCTCACAGGCAAGGCTTATAAAAATGTACAATGCATTACTAGTTAAGTATAATTATAAAAATTTTAATCAGGTTTAAAAACAATCCGAATTCTGTTTTACATTGTGCAAAATTTGCTTAGTTATAGAATTATCGTTTAAATTTTAAATCCTTAAACCCATAATTTATAATATTATTGTAATATTTTTTGATGCCAGTCTCTGAACCACAATCAATAATTTAAAAATACAGTACTGAATTAGACCATTATTTCATATGTTGTAACATAATATAAGCATATAATATTTTTTATCGATTCATTGAATTAGGAATCCTTAGAAAATCGCAGTATTTTTGCCTCGCATAGTTCTAAATTAAGCATATATTATTTTATAGGCATTCACAAGTTTAGTAAGTTAATTTCGAATGAAGCAAATGTATAGAAGTTCAAATAAGTCTAATTCTGTAGTAACTAATAAAAATACAGGAATATTTACGTGGTAAGTTTGACAATCACTACAATGGCAAGATATAGTTATATTCGACTTAATTTTAATTAGAGTCCTAAATGGGAATACCGTGGGGATACTTACAATTTACTTTACACTTGAAGAAACCCTAAAATATTATTATTTGCAATTACTAGGCAATTCATTCAATTTTTCACAATCAGATCGTCGTTCGGATTCACGGATCTCTCACAGATTTATATTCTCTTTGTCACAGATATACAACAAACTAGGTTTGGCCAAAATATATCAACATATCGAAATATCGATATTTTTATAAGCATATTTCGTAGATATTTTTAATCGCGATATATCAATATATCGATATTTATTTTAGAGTATCGAATTCGTATCAAATTTGATACATTTTAAAATATTGTATTAATAGACAAAAAAAAAACAACAAACCGAGCTATAAACGAGCATTCATGAGCGGTTGTCGATTATTTTTTCGCCCTCCAACCGCCAGTATTATAAAATTTTGGGCCTTATCCTTACATCATGCAATTTTTTTTTATAGAATCGGGTGACAAACGAGCACACAGTCCACCTGATGGGAAGTGGTTACTGCGACCTATAGACATCTACATCTATCCTCAATAAAGACTCAAAATGCAGATGCGTTGTCACCCGTGAGGATTAAGATGGAATGCCTCTTGTCCAGTAAAAAGGGTCTCCGGTTCTCTACACTCGCCATACGGAACACAGCAGCGTTAAGCTGCTATTTTACGCTGGTATTTATTTATTTATTTCATTTCATCTTACAAGCTAACAGATGACACATCCAAAACGCTTATAAGATTAACAATTCGGTATTACACATCCTCGTCATTATATAGGTAATAGCAAAATTATTTTACAATATCCTAATTAACAATACATCAATAATATCATAGAAAAGAAATCATAACAAATACAATCTGAGTCCATAAATACATTAATATTAAAATAAGATAGCAATAACAATAATAAAAAAAAAACAACAAAAACAATACGCAACCAGCAATTATAATAATTAATTATGAAAACAATATAATATGTAAGTTTGATGGCTAGAATTTTTTTAAAATTATTTGAATTTCTTTATACAAATGTCTTAATCCATCGGCAAATAACTCTAGCTCGTTGTGCTGTGCAACTATGTCCCCAATAATGCGGAGTGCGCTGTTGGTGGGCGCTTGACGAGCGCGCTCGGTACGTGCGCGGGGGGGCTCCAGGAGTCGCGGGCGGCGCCGCGGTGCCACCTGTCCCTGCGAGTTTGCTGACATGTTCCCAGGGACCAAGATGCGGACATGCTCTAGTATTTAGGGACTATCAATCCTATTATGAATTATGGACAGATATTGCATGACTTGAGACATTGCCCTTCTAAATTTCAACGTTTCAATGTCCACCATACCAGACACGAATAAGGAATACGGATAGTATAGTATATACTATCCGTATTCCTTATTCGAATATACGAATAAGGATAGTATCCGTACTGTTTCTTATATATCCGTCGAGCAAATTTACGTTGTATTTTTTCAATCATTAGAACGTATTTCTCTTCGTAAGGATTCCAGATAACAGCACCGTACTCGAGTTTACTGCGCACATAAGCATTATATAATACTTTTGCGACCCGTGTATTATCAAACTGTGACGCAGTCCTTATGACAAACCCTAACATTTTATGCGCTGACTTACAAACTTTGTTGATGTGCGTGTGAAAATCTAATTTGCAATCTAATAATAATCCTAAGTCCCTAATCTCTTTAACTCTTTCCAAAGGAGCGTCGGTCAACTTATAATTAAAAATAATGGGCTGTGATTTTCGCGTGAAAGTTATTATTTTACATTTGAGATTATTGAACGGAAGGTGGTTTTCTTGACTCCATATAGACACAGCATCAATATCTCTTTGTAATGTCACGGCATCAGCCTCAGTTTCAATACCCAGAGTTAGTTTCAGGTCATCCGCAAATAGGAGACACTCTGCAGTCAAAACAACATCTGGCAAATCGTTGATAAATATCACGAATAGCAAAGGTCCTAACGTACTACCTTGACTCACTCCTGACCTAGTAAAGTAGTCTCCAGAGTTATATCCACTGAGCCTCACATATTGACGTCGATTATTAAGGTAACAAGAAAAAAAATTGAGGAGCTTTGGTTCGAATCCAACAATCGTCAACTTTTTCAATAGTACATCGTTATCCACAAGGTCGAATGCTTTCTGGAAGTCAAAGTAAGCCGCATCAACTTGCCTTCGCTTATCCATTTGTGAGCAGATATAGTCTACATGCGCGACCAAGTTGGTGACGGTGGAGCGAGCTGTACGAAACCCATGTTGACTATTATGCAGATGTTGACCGATTTGGCATTTGATGGAATCATTTAGAATTGCTTCAAAGATCTTACCAAAAACGGATAGGACAGCTATAGGTCTGAAAGAAGTAACATTTGTGCCTCCGTCTCCTTTAGGAACAGGAGTGACTCGAGATAGCTTCCAGCTCTCAGGATATCTTGACTGGGTCAATGAAAGATTATACAAATACAGAAGAGGCCACCCAAGAACTGATATACAGTCCTTAACTAAGAAGACAGGAATGCCATCCGGCCCACCAGCCGATCGTGGCTTAAGGCGTCTCATTGCTTTCTTCAGATCGTTTTCATCAACTGTCGTGATGTAAACTGAGGTAACATCTCGATGTATATGTGCATATGCAGCTTTTGCAGCAGTATCCGGGTTTAGCACGGGTTTCTCTGCATGAAAAACGGACGCAAAATATTTGGCAAAGGCATCGGCTGCGGCTTGATCTGTCACTGCAGTATTTTCATATATATATGTATCTATCTACCTTCTATTGTTTTTCTTCTCCTTTACATATTTCCAGAATTGCACAGGATCGTCAATGATATTTTTTTGTAGTACAGTCATATATTTCCGGTATTCCCAGTCAATCAATTTCTTAACTTTTTCTCTATAATATATAAACATAGCCTTAAATTCTTTGCCCTCTTTTTTGAATTGCTTATGATGAAAGTGTTTGTTTTTTATATAATTTATTATTTCTACGTTGTATCAGTTTGGATATATGTATCGCTGATTGTTTGATAATTGTTTTTTAATAGGCACAAACAGATTTATAATTTCGTATAGCTTATCGTAGAACAGCTGTACAGCACAGTTAATATCGCTTATTGTTAACAAATCAGACCAGTCTATTTCAATCAAAGTCCTATATAGACCCTGAAAATCTGCCTTACGCCAGTTCCAATCTGTATTGGTATTCGAGCGAGGTGTCACTTGCTGCAAAGATAACACGCTCGATGCTATCCAAAAGCCCGGAAATGTAATATTTATATCGAGCATAGGATGGTACTGATCGATATTAACCAGAGGATCTTCACTGAGAGATACCACTATCTGTTTAGGTTCAAAATTGCCCAGCACCAGATCCAGCATACCACCGCGATCATTTAAGACTGTATTATATTGCTTAAGCGAGCAGAATTCACAAAAAAGTCAAAAGAAGTCTTTATATTGGTACTGCAAGAGTTTAAATTAAAGTCACCTAGGATTAGAACATTCAGGTCGGGGTAAGTACAAATCACATTTTCTATACATGTCAAAAGAT